CAAATAATCGTCTTCATATGCATTGTTTCACACTTCTTTTGTCTTCGCATCGAGTTACAACAGTCTACAGGGTGTCACAAAAATGTCTCGCAATCCGGAAATGGCGGGTTCCTCGGATCATTTGAAGCAACTTCTTCCTTTACAAAAATTTTCTCCTAGGCACCGTTAACGAGTTATTAACGAAAAACAGTGACCAATAAGAATCGAGTACGGCTGACGCGAGACGGCCCAGCCAACCAGCGCACGAAGCCCAGTTCCGCTCATTGGCTCGGTCGCCTCGCGCCAGCCGAGCTCGCCTCTCATTGGTCACTGTTTTTCGTTAATAACTCGTTAACGGTGCCTCGGAGAACATTTTTGTAAAGGAAGAAGTTGCTTCAAATGGTCTGAGGAACCCGCCACTTTCGGATTGCGAGACATTTTTGGGACACCCTGTATATACAGTATCAGACTCTGTACAGTACACATCAGACTCTGCCGTCCAGAGAAATAGCCTCGCGCAGAATTCAGCTGTACCTAAAAGGTTAAAGAAGTAGCGATTACAAGTGGCGAACAAAAAGTATGCGAACGTGGTTCGCGCGTTACTTAAATCAGATATACGATAAAAGTCGACGACTAATTTACATGGAACCTGATTAATGAAACCTAGGAATCTATATCATTGCCAAGGGGTCAGCTTTTGTTCGATGGACGGAAAGAGAAACGAGAAGCGGTTCTAATGGAAAAAGTGAAACTGTCACAAATATCTACAGGGCTTCTCAGCAATACTTTTACATAAGAGGCGAAATACTGGAACCACGTGGACGTGAGTGCACATTCGCGTTAATGTCAGAGTATTACGTATGCAATGGCACGCTCTTAACCCTTTGCACTCGAAGCCATTTCAACTATAAATCTAGAATAATTTTTCCGACTTATATACATAGTATTTCCATTTTATATGACAAGGTGCATTTTATGCGTACAATATTGAGCCTTGTGACTCATACAACAGGTTACACTTCTAACAATTTTAAAAATCTAAGCTTTGATAAAATAAAAATGATTTTGGAACCGTGATATAACAATCTTAGCGGTGCCTCAAAGTCGCCACTCGAGTGCAAAGGGTTAATCCTGCAAACATTCTCGAACTCTACAATATTTTCTTCAACATCTCGCAGCGGATTCGAGAATAGTTCTCCCAGAGGGGTGCCAGCAATACCAGTTCCAGTTCCAACTACCCTCTAACATCCCCAGCAGCTTCGAACACCGGCATGGTTATGTCAGATACACGGTGAAAGCCATAATCGACAGGCCCTGGAAGTTCAATCACGAATGCAAGATCGCATTCACCGTTGTCTCCGTTCTCGATCTGAACATGCACCGACACAGATGCGTATGAACTCGATTTCTTTTCAAACCTGATCACCGACTGAAAGTGTTAAGCAAATTATCGCCTTCCTTGAACAGTTGGGAATCCACGAAGAAATTCAGAAGAACTTCTCCTGCTGCTGCTTCGGTCTGGGCTCGATGAACACAAGCATCCGGGTGCCTTCCTCTGGGTACGTTTCAGGTCAGATGATAAGCGCGTCGGTGAATTACAAGAATGCTTCTTCCCAAGTTGGTATAAGGAAGATCGAACTGAAATTGGAACGAGTAAGTGAAGCCTAGGTGATTCGGAGAGCCGTCCGATCAATTTTTTTCTCATTTTCCTTTCAAGGTGCTCAAGCTTCATGCGACAACCAAAACGAAGACCGAATACTTCAAAATTATATCCTCTTCGCATACAGGACCTTTTACGCCGGAAGGAGTCATTACTCTGGAAATAAGGGTACCGCCGATTCCGCCATCCCACCAACCGTTTTGTAGTATTATTGATTTGGATTACTACTTGAAGGTGGTTGTCTACTTCACGGGCACGTAAGTATGTAGGGTGGTTTGCATCATTGTTTCAGCTCATAACTTCGTTATTAATACATTCCCTCCCAAAAAAATGCTAAAGGAGGAAGACAAATGGCTCGAAGAGCCCTATATGTATGCGACATTGAAATCGTAAAAAACGTAAATATTTCTTCTACGATAGTTCCAACTACTGTTACACATAAGCTTTCTTATTAATAGAGAAATGCAATATGAAATAAAGACTAACTGAAGCATGTTCTGCGACGAGTTAGATTTCAATGTTGCATCAATGCGAACGGACATCACTTCGAGCACGTTTTACGACNATGCAATATGAAATAAAGACTAACTGAAGCATGTTCTGCGACGAGTTAGATTTCAATGTTGCATCAATGCGAACGGACATCACTTCGAGCACGTTTTACGACGTAAGACTTTTAAAGTCTCGCTGCTTTAGCCTGGTATCTGTTACCGAAAAACCTTTTACTACAGCTCGAAGGAATCGTAAATATCCGCTATTTAATTATGAATAGAAAAGTATAGCCATGTCATTTAAAAAAATGACAGTAATGTGATGACCTGTGACATTACGACCCGCTTGAAACAATACAACTTTTATTAACAAAGTTTTTCTGTGTATCTCAAAAGATCTCCCACTGAGATATTCAAGGTGATCAAAGTTATTGGCTCGCATATCAGTTAGATATCTCAGGCTTAAACAAGCTAAGGTCGATACTGTGTGAACGGAAGTTCGATTACTGAGGTATTAAAAAATTTCCTTTCCTTTCGATCGCGACTTCTTATCTTTAATTAGTCAATCATTCGATAGATTACTCGGATATCTCTTTGTTTAGTTGAAAGACAAACTTTACTGATTTATACTTTACTCAGAAATATTTTATCCCGCAACAATCAGGCACCTCAAACTTCAGAGAAGTTACCCCCTCCTAATCGGAACAATTCCACTGTATTGCGAGCCCAGTGCACCAGCTATTCAGCAGATGAATGCCATGCCATATCCCACGGAACAACCTGCAACATCGAGTACAATGTCAATGCCAGAAACACCACAGCCTAGCACTACCACTACAAAAACACAACCAGCACAACTTGGCTTCGTCATTCCCGACCAAGCTAATTCTTCTGCAAACTGTAACATACGTAAGAAATTATTTAAAGAATTAAATGATTTCTGCTTGGGACGTACAGCTCAAATCAAATTCCAAATAAATCGTATAAAATGATTTTGTACAAGATTTATGAAATTAACACTTTCTTTGTCGTTGTGAATTCGGTTTAGCTCCCCCATCTTATGAAGAGTGCATGCTAGGAGCTCAGAACATTCGAGATGACGACGAGTCCGTCCACGTTCAAGGAACAAATGCTCCTTTTCGACCCAAGTACCCTGTGTTCAACTATCCAGCACCAAGTAAGTACTTTATTAAAGAAGAAGCATCGTTCCATACATTTTTGACCAGCTGTCACCAAATGTCTTATATATTAGTGGATTTCCCTTTTAATTGAATGTTCTTTTCCAGGTGCGCCGTGAATGAAGAAATAGGAAAAAAGTTTTCGTCGAAATTGCAGGATACTCTGAACCACGAATATTTGAATGAACGAGATTATTATTTATATGAACTTATAACTACAAGTGTGGCCTACTTATACCTACTTATACCTATTTATACATCGATAGACCTATTATTTCGGTGCAAATTAGATACAATTTTATATACAATTTTGTATACATATACAATCGTTTACGCATAATTGACATCTTATTGTTATCCTTTCCATATTATATAAGTTGCATACTATTTACAACTCGAACTCTACTGCATCGTTCAAAAAATTATTTAAATTAACTTGAACTAAAATGCGCACCCGTTTACGTGGTTTACAAATTTCATCGTATCATAAATACAGATACAATCGGAAGTTCACATTTTGAGTAGTCCAGAATAATTATTGATTCGAGGCTGCTAAAGTCGTTCAAAAATCAGATTAAAAGTCCTACCGTTTGTAAAAAATCTTACACTCTTAACAAAGAATGCTATGCTAGATATCTATGACGAATAATTATCTCAGTGGAATGTTCTTTTCTGTTATTGATTCGATGAGTCATGATGATTACGAATCTACCGGACGTACCGCGGTGGACAAACATGACAGCGTGTCCGGTCAACGTATCTAGATATGATAACTCTCGTGAAATTTTCAGTAAGTCGCAGTCATTGCAAGCAGACAGTTTACATTTCTAAGTACTTCTATTTTCCTTGCTCTCACTTCCTGGAAATTCGATCAGCCTGCTGGCGGACTCGCTCGATAAAGAAGATCCGTGACGGACATCAGTCTTGTGCTTGATTTCAACAAGATGCCATCGTTAAGGACGTTCACTATCGAGTTAGATCGACCAGGCGCCGTGTATCAAGTCGGTGAATCGGTAACTGGCAACATTATCGTGAACACCAGCGAGGAGAAATCCGTTAGAGGCAAGTTTTAAAAATTGAACGCGGAATGAGAGTGCAGCGATCAAAATAGCGGCGCTAGTCTACGTCCGACATTGTGCCGCGGAAAACATTTAATTGTCGAACGTAGACTCGGATTATTGAAAAGCTTAAATTTCACCGATGACAACTGCACGTTGATAGAAAGCGTCACACACGTTTCAATCCCTTCATACACATACCCGTGCATGAACGGTTTCAAATCGTATAAACTTCGAAACTACGTTTCATTTCTTGCGCGCGGCAATTTTGTCTTCTCTGTCATGTGAAAACAAGTGCGAAAATGAAAATTGTTGCGCGTTGAAGGGTCGAATCAGCAGACAGAAATTTATCCTTTGATCAACGGATGCGTATTCTTACTTTGAAGCGAAATAATAATTTGTTTTCGACATTTAAGGAAAGAACAGATGCAGGAATAGTCCGTTGAAAATAAATTGATCTCTTGTCATTTAAATTTTCAACGACCCTGTCACCCAAGCTTTTTTATCAACGCAGACATTGCACATGGACGTTTATAAAAACATTTACAAGAACGTTTCGAGTACAATTTAAATCGAAAACATGATGCTGTACTTGGAAAAACGGTATCGTCATTATCACTCCGATTTTACTCACTGATTATATAAAGTATTTATACACATTGTTCCTCGCGTGTAGGTGGAGTTGCTATTATTATCCTGCAAGCGTTATCAAGATGTTCATGTTATACTATCGGCACAACACACATCTTTCGAACTTCCTTTCAATTTAAGCTGAACCCTTGAACTACCAATCGAAATAATTGATCACAGATTTTTTCGTTCATAATTATCAGAGTAACTACTATTGAACTTATCGAATACGCTCCTCCATTCAATTATTAAGAAAAATTGCGCATCCCTCACTATGCAGTAATCGATCTTTTCTGACACTGATTTTAGATTAAACGGCATAAATAATACGCGTACCACAAAGTACGAAATATGCATTGTCGTTACCATATACAGCAACAAAAGAGTCAACGATCGATACTCATTGAACCTAATTAATGATTTGCAGGGCTCTATTTCATTGCCAAGGGGGCAGCTAGCGTATACTGGACAGAATCGTCGAGTTCAACTGATAGCGATGGCAAAAGTACAAGTACCAGTGACAGCTATTCCGCTTCGGAGCACTATTTTACGATAAAGGGCAATGTACTTGGTTCTTCCGAATGTGAGTGTGTAAAACACTAATGTTTTACAGATTTTTCCTCATTTCCTACGTCTTATAGAATAAAAGGCGCATACATAAAACAAAATTTGCATGTATGGAACGAAATCCTTTGACATCTTGCAGCGGACTCGAGGGTGGAAATCAAAGAGGGCTACCATCAGTATCCGTTTATGTTTCAACTACCCTGTAACATTCCCAGCAGCTTCGAAAACTTCTATGGGAACATCAGATACACGGTGAAAGCGGTAATCGACAGGCCCTGGAAATTTGATCACGAATGTAAAGTCGCATTCACCGTGATCTCCGTATTAGATCTGAACGCAAATCGCGACAAATGCGTAAGAATTCCGTTTGTTCTCGAAATATACCACCGATTCGAAACGTCAATTGAATTATCGTCTTCTTCGGGCAGTTAGGAATCTACGACGAAGCTCAGAAAAACTTGTACTGTTGCTGCTGCAGATTAGGTTCAATGAACGTAAGAATACGAATACCTTCTTCCGGGTATGTTCCTGGACAACTAATCAACACGTCCATGAACTTTGGAACTGCTTCGTCCCAAGTCCCAGTATCAAAGATCAGTACTAAGTTGGAACGAGTAAGTGAAGTGATTATGATTTAGAGAGCTGTACGCGGTTACTCTTTCCCCATTTTTTTATTCAAGGTAACCAGATTTCATGCGACTACCAAGTCTAGGACCGAAAACTTCGAGATTTCGTCCAGTTCCTATTCAGGACCTTTCTCGACGCATACTGTAGCCAATTTGGAAATCAGAGTTCCGCCGACCCCGCCGTCCAACTTGTCATTTTGCAGAATTATAGACATGGACTACTACCTAAAGGTCATCGTCCATTTTCCAGGAGCGTAAGTAAGATACCCTATTAGATCGGGACACTGATGATTTGAAACGCGATTAGCTCGTCGGTCAAACAATGTAATCGTAATGCTAGCTAGTCGAATAATCATTTCATTGTCAGAGTTAATCACCTCAGTTATCATGTATGAATACATCTGTCGTGACAATAAAACTCGTTAAGTCGTGCTTCATATAGTAGGGTTGCAACTCTGTGCCTAACTCAACCATAGTGATCGAGATCTTCCCGATGTTTCTTCCAGTAGATGTGCCCGCGACAGATCATAGCACTGTATCTGAGACAAAGAAAATTTCGTTAATTTAGTCATGGTACAGAGTGAATTAGGATAATGTGCCGAATGTGTACGATAGAAATTGTTCGTATGACACTTCGTTTTCAAGAGAAACAAAAGATTCTGAAGACTGTTGGAGATAACGACTGCCGAGTCTGTTCCCGACACACTATATTTACTTCACTTATACAGCGTATGAATGCTCGTCGCGTTTGAAATGTTCATTTTCCCGAAATCGAAGCCTTAACTGTAAACAGTTTTATTTTACACTTTTAACTTATTCTTTCGTGTCAAATCATTCTTTACACGATTGTATCATGAACACTGGAACATCCTGTGTCCACATGGTTCTCACTGAAACATTTCTTTGTGAAAAAATCAGGCACGTTAATGTTCAGAGGAGATATCCTCTTCTGATCGGATCGATACCATTATATGTTGCACCGAGTGCACCTCATGAATCGCCAAGTATCGCAAAAGAATCTGTTGCACCGATGCCAATGCCACTGCCAGATGCACCACAGCCTGGTGTTTCTAATACGCAAGCACCACACGTTGGATTCATCGTCCCGGATCAAACTGGTACTTCTACGAATTGGGACATACGTAAGAAACTATTAACATATTTAAATAATTTCATTCCCGTACTGCTGAAACTATATTCTAGAAAAACGAGTATCCATTATTCATAAATCAGTGGTACTAACAATTTTAATCGCACCGCAACAAGTGTATCTTGATAACGTGATGTATTAATTCTTTTTAAGATTACTATATGTGAAAAGATTTATTAGCTACCCTATAGATCCTATTAATAAGCTTCAGGTAAATGTTCGTTTTTTTCTTTGTATACAGCACCTCCATCATATGAAGAATGCGTCTCAGGAGCTCAGCACATCAAAGACCAGGATGAATCTGATTATGTGCATGGTGCGAATTCTCCTTTTTCGCCCAGGTATCCTGTGTTCAACTATCCAACACCGAGTAAGAACTTTATTTACTTCACAGGGCCTAGATACCATAAAGTAGAACCTCTTTTTGATCGGATGTACTTTCGTAGGTGCACCAAGTAAATGAACGAAGAACTAGAAAAAATGGTTTTTATTGAGACTGCAGGAAGGAAGAAGCTTACCAAGCAATTCTCATAACATTCAACTCACTCTTCGGCGTGATGCATTTGACCGGTAACGCTGACTTGAAACGAATCTACTTTGTTATACTGTGTCGGATTTACTATTTTCTGGTACAAGATACTTTACGATTTTATATGTACATTATCTTAAAAATATATATACAATTATTTGCACTGTTGGTTTCTTTTGAACACGAAAACGCATTCTGTGTTCCACTTGACTATGACGAGGGTGCGTTTGGAATCATATCGCAACCGCAAAGTTATGGTTGCTAATGAAAAGCCAAATGTTAGAAAATGTAATGAATGAACATTTCAATGCAAACATTCTGACATTGATTCCCGGCCGAAGTCGAAAGGCATAAGGGAAAAGCAACGGTTTTACGAAAATGGTATATTTACACAATTTATTTCATATCTCAACATCATCATATTGTAATCATAATCATCATCGAGTCGTATAATTAGAAAAATGTGACGATGTATAATCGTTTGCAAAAAAGAATGATAGGACAGGAGAGTAAGAAGCGAAAAAGAAGAAGGGAAGAAACATTGGTACAATTTGAAGGAAGTAGTAGTACAAAAAGAATGGAGAGAGATTTGTCGCAAACAAATTTATCGGCGATACCAACGAATCGCAAATCGGTCGTTCTTAAAACGAATTGGGGGGGGGGGGAGAGAGTGGTAACAACGAACAAAAATTAAAAAGATTACTAATGAGATTACGTGGAGAAGACCCTCGACGGAAGCGTCGGCTAAAACGGAACCGAGAGAGAAGTGTGAGGAAGAAGGCTTATCAACAAGTCGCGAACATATCTCGAATCGATCACTCGCATAACATTTCTCTCTACTCTAATAAATGTATATACCTCAACTTCGCAGTTCAGCAAATACACACGGTACGAATCGCATTTCAACCACCAAATGCCCGATAAACGTGTCATTGTAGGAACTGAACCCAACCGTCTTAACGTTAAAGGCTGTCTTAAATACTGAGAACAGACACGGATCGCCATTTTTTCTATCGTTTTTCTCGGTGACTTTGCTATCGGATGACAGTGAAGATGTTCCGTTTTTCGTTTGTTTCTTTCGTTTTGTATTTTTTTTTTTTTTTTGTTAGATTATACTTTCCACTTTTGGTTACTTTCATTCGGAGAAAAGTAAACGTATGTGAGAGGAGAATTGACACACGACGGAGAACTATTAACGAAGATTGATAAAGTCAATTCCAATGACCGTGACGTTTAGTTGCTGCTGGTCCCATTTCGTACTATTCGTCAATCGTGGTCGCAACAACGGTTGTGATCACACTCTGCTTTGACGGCAAAGATCTCGTGTTTTTGCTGCTTTCTCTTCAGTTTTATTTTACTCGGTTTTGGTAATTACGAATATCATGGTAGTCACAAGAACATCCGACGCAGAATTAAATAAAGACTAAAAACTACGAGAAATTCCTGTACACCGTTCTTCGGTTTCGAGCGGTAATCCTAAGTTAGTGGCATTCAGTGTTTTTATAGAAGTACCTCAGAGGCTCGTCAGATCATTAGTTCGGAGACCGTATAATATATATATATGCGTGATGGAACGAAAGTAATCGGTAGCGTCGGACGTAGCAACGTGTACGTCGTATCTTTCTATGTCGCAAGCTGCAAAAGTAATTTGGACTCGACGAAAAATCGGCGGTAAGGGAAACAAGAAATAAGTCGAATAAGGAGAGCCAAGAACCCGTTCCGGAAAAGCATTCGATGTTCGAGAAATGAGAAAAAAATAAAAAGAGTATATAAAGCGAAAGATAAATACGAATATTTTTAAAAAATCATTAATACTTTAAAAAAAAAAAACGAGAAACGGTAAAAGCGCTTGGACATTTGAATATTGCGTAGATCGCGCGCGGTCTAATGCATGCATTTTTTTTGACTCGATAATGTTTCCTGACATTTCCTCGTCTATTTTTCTTTTTTTTTAATTTCTATCTGATTATCCTGATTCATCGGGAGGGGAAAGGAACTGTGCGCTCCAACTTTACAAAAATTTGCTTCGCTTATATTACAATAACCTTCCCTCGATTTAAGACATTCAACCCTTAATATATTATTATCATAAATAAATTTGGTCTATCGGTAATATTGTGAATACGCCGGTACAAATACTGGCAGTATTTGGTTAAGTAAAAAATCATGATCACTAGAAGAGGTAACTGGTACCGAATAGGATCTCGAACGCGTGAAATGAACATTTCTTTATCTTTTATCTTTTTCTATTTCTTTTTGTTCTCCTCGCTTTGCAATGTGTTCCGATCGCGATTTATCCAGCAGTAAAAAACAACAAGATTTATCAATTTTTATGGACAACAAAAGAGAGCAATGTACGACACGCATGTTACAACTTCCAGTAAACTTGATTTAACATTCTTCATTGGGATTGCCGGGAGTGACGCAGATCTATTCGCGATATCATCCGAATTTCGTGCATGCTTGCTGGCCAAAAAAATGTGTTGGCAGAATATTGTGTGTGTGTGTGCGCGCGCGCGAAACAATGTAAAGTTTAATCAAACAAAATAAATGTTAACCAACTTGATTTCGTTGAAAAAGTTATAAAAAAATCCTTGAACACTCGACAATCGGAGACTCGCAGAAAATTTTTGGTATTGTTAGTATTCGTTACAAACATGCAGACATTTGAATACCTTGCAAATAGATCTGCCGTGAAGTCACCCGTAGGAAAGTATACTGAGTCAGTACATCCATTTTAAAGAACAGGTAGTTGCAAAGTTGTCTTTTAACATTTCCATTTGATCCACAAAACTGTCCCGGTCAGCATGTATTGTAAACTATTCGTGACCCACTTATTAGTTTCTTTTTGCAGCACTTTGTTTTAAAAAAATAATTAATGTTATTGCTGCCATTGCGGTATGGCGCAATGGGTTCAAGACAAACATCAACATTTCGTCTCTACCATATCTGTATACATACATTCAATACAACATTAACATTAACTGAGATTAAGGAAAGGCATAATTTACATTGTCGCCGTGTGTTGATCCAAGTCATGAACCAGAGGACACTGAGTTGTGCACACGTAACGTGTGTTTCATTTTTATAGTGTGTGGTATGTCTTTACGCGATCACTTTACATTATTACACTTTGTTTCATTTTCAGTCCGCACGCTTCCCAAAATCCTGCAATCAGAAATTCGATGTGTCAACCGTATAACATTCTCTAACGTAACGATAAAATGATAAATTCTTACCACAATTATATGTGCAGCTTAACCTTCCCTCTTAATGGCACCGGGTGCTTCTGCCAATCCTTTAACTTTCAATCGATCAGCTGTTTTAAGAAATGCAGGCAGTTGATCTTGCGAAACATTAACTTCTCCAGCATACATAAATTCCAAAATAGCTTGCAGATGGCTGTATGCAACATCTTTTAGAATAATAATGGGATGTTTGGACGGATTTTCCTACAACACCTCCACAGTTAACGTCGTTGTTCTAAGTAATTCGACTTAACATAAGAGTAATAACATACCTCTAATAATGACTTAAAATAAGGACTACAAGCGGACAACACCATCTTATGTGCTTTACAAGTCTGACCATCGCAAGCTAACGTCACATCCGTGAAACTTTTCTCATCTCGTAAGTGTTTAAACGACGATACCATATTAGATTGGAAATCATTCCATTTAAGAAAAAACTGTTGCTGTTCATCTGCCATTATTGACACTCAATATCCTGACAATCTTTCCTCGAATTTGTAAGCTGAAAATATTCTCAATAATCAACACACAACTTCCTGTAGTACAGAAAGCATAATATTACACATATATTAGAAACATAAGGATGGTACGAACTAGTTCCAAGGCGCATTAAACGCAGAAACATACAAACACGCGTACAAATCAACTGTTTCATTCACGAGCGAAACAAGGATATTGCGACGACGAAGATCGGTTTACAAGTAAAAGATAAAGTTTCCGAAACGTTCGCGGAACGGAACGTCGAGGAATCGCGCGTAATTCAGCGTACCAGATTTCGTCTAGGTTAACCGAAAAACACATTCAACAGATTAGATCGAACGTGTTTCGAAGAATTTGCCGAACCGAAAGCGGAAGCAAAGAGCAAAATATCGTGGCGTAACGACAACTGGTTTTATTCCGAGATACGGGTATGCTCCGTGATACATGTTAATCGCATTTTGTCATAACAATACGCGTACATACAACGGATCGTTCCGTCAAAGGGACTCGTAGATTCGAACGCGGGCCAAGAACACAAAAACACGCATGAAAAATAACCTAATGAGTTCGTTTACTCACCAGCAGCTAACGGACCACCGAATCCTCAGAGGTAACGGTGATTCACAAAAGGAACGCGAAAAATATATACACTACCGAAAAGTTTTTACGCGAATGTTACGAATTTTTTGTTGCGGCTAATATCACGTCGAAGAAATTCGGTCAAATTCGGATCTTTCCGTCGCAGGTCGGTTCGAAAACGTTGTACCGACTGGCGGCAGATTCGATCTCCGCGCGCGAGATGGCGTTCTAGAAGGCTTTTGGAGAAACGCTCGGAATTCGCGCTTCATAAATGTCAATCCAAAATTGTATATCGACGTCAGCATGCAAAATGCATTCCCAGCTACATTATTAGAAGACTCGGCCTCCCGAAATGGTTTCCTCTACGAAAATAGAGACCTGTGTTTGCCGCCTAATCTCTTCGTTCGATTGTCCGTTTCCCGCTCATTTTCGAATTTCATTTAAATTATTGGCGATATCTCGCGACAGAATATTAAATACGTTCCGTACGGATTATCATCCGAATTAGAACTCTGAATTCTGAGCAACGATCTAGCGTCTAATGTCGATAATATCCTGCCACGCTTTGTTACCGCTAATTGCGCAATCTCACGCAAGCAAAGTGGACAGATATCAGCATATGAGCTAGGTGACAAATCGAATGTACCCGCCGCTACAGAGAAATCGGTTGTAATCAACCAGACAACGATTACGGTAACGATAATCATTGGTAGAACGACACGCGATAGAAATCTCTCTTTGTGTAGGTAGAAACGGAAGAGATGCTAAAGTATTGGACTAATTGAAGCGCGAAGATGACAGTCACTTTAGTTCTTTATGAATCGTTGTACAGAAGTCAATTGATGCGGCTACAGTCACAGTTACCCTAGCAATAATTAGATCTCGAAGATCTTAACTTGCTCTAATCTTTTAACCGAAGGAAGTCAAATTACTATTCATTATGCAATTATGAGACACACACACACACACACACACACACACACAAGCAAATTGTTAAAATACTGAGTGGAGGAGAATAATACGCTATAATATAAAGTTATATATATTATATATATTTATTATATAATATTTATATTATTATTATATATATTATATACATTTATTATATAATATTTATATTATTATTATATATATATTATATATATATTTTTATTATTATTCGACCGTGCTTGTTTAGGTGGCGATGACCGATAGATCATCCGGTTAACAGCAATTAAGATTCAAGATACAGTTTAGATACGTGCTGTAATCGATCTAGCAGATTTCGAATTGTTTGTTGTACGTTTCGTACAATCACAAAGACTTTTTCACCAAACTTGCATGGTACAATTCATAATTCTCTTTCAGACGCAACTTTTCAGCTTTTCTTTCTTCTATGCACAAATCACTTCTATTTCATGAAAGATCCATGGTGGCAGGTCCAACAACGAACAAACAAATATTCAAACGAAGTAAATAAATCTTCCGACATACCCTAATCTTCATACATACAAAACATGGAAAATCTCCGAAGTATTCCTGGCGCGTTAATGACGGGGGATAACAGTTATTATAAAACGTGAACTCGTTCAACAAAATTCGGCAACGAAACGTGGCCCTATACGGATCGCGGAGGGAAATACATACTTCGAAGCGGGTTGATCGACAGGGGTATCGGGTTATTATGCAGCTCGGGTGCCCTCTAACAATACCGTATCTCCATTGGCTGTGCATCGCGGGGGGGGGGGGGAACGGGGGGGGGGGCGGGGCAATCGGGCTTTCAGGGGNTCCTCTACGAAAATAGAGACCTGTGTTTGCCGCCTAATCTCTTCGTTCGATTGTCCGTTTCCCGCTCATTTTCGAATTTCATTTAAATTATTGGCGATATCTCGCGACAGAATATTAAATACGTTCCGTACGGATTATCATCCGAATTAGAACTCTGAATTCTGAGCAACGATCTAGCGTCTAATGTCGATAATATCCTGCCACGCTTTGTTACCGCTAATTGCGCAATCTCACGCAAGCAAAGTGGACAGATATCAGCATATGAGCTAGGTGACAAATCGAATGTACCCGCCGCTACAGAGAAATCGGTTGTAATCAACCAGACAACGATTACGGTAACGATAATCATTGGTAGAACGACACGCGATAGAAATCTCTCTTTGTGTAGGTAGAAACGGAAGAGATGCTAAAGTATTGGACTAATTGAAGCGCGAAGATGACAGTCACTTTAGTTCTTTATGAATCGTTGTACAGAAGTCAATTGATGCGGCTACAGTCACAGTTACCCTAGCAATAATTAGATCTCGAAGATCTTAACTTGCTCTAATCTTTTAACCGAAGGAAGTCAAATTACTATTCATTATGCAATTATGAGACACACACACACACACACACACACACACACAAGCAAATTGTTAAAATACTGAGTGGAGGAGAATAATACGCTATAATATAAAGTTATATATATTATATATATTTATTATATAATATTTATATTATTATTATATATATTATATACATTTATTATATAATATTTATATTATTATTATATATATATTATATATATATTTTTATTATTATTCGACCGTGCTTGTTTAGGTGGCGATGACCGATAGATCATCCGGTTAACAGCAATTAAGATTCAAGATACAGTTTAGATACGTGCTGTAATCGATCTAGCAGATTTCGAATTGTTTGTTGTACGTTTCGTACAATCACAAAGACTTTTTCACCAAACTTGCATGGTACAATTCATAATTCTCTTTCAGACGCAACTTTTCAGCTTTTCTTTCTTCTATGCACAAATCACTTCTATTTCATGAAAGATCCATGGTGGCAGGTCCAACAACGAACAAACAAATATTCAAACGAAGTAAATAAATCTTCCGACATACCCTAATCTTCATACATACAAAACATGGAAAATCTCCGAAGTATTCCTGGCGCGTTAATGACGGGGGATAACAGTTATTATAAAACGTGAACTCGTTCAACAAAATTCGGCAACGAAACGTGGCCCTATACGGATCGCGGAGGGAAATACATACTTCGAAGCGGGTTGATCGACAGGGGTATCGGGTTATTATGCAGCTCGGGTGCCCTCTAACAATACCGTATCTCCATTGGCTGTGCATCGCGGGGGGGGGGGGGAACGGAGGGTGGTGTCGGCAACGTCTGCGGAAATTCTTTCGATTTCCGTGGAAAATCTGTGGTTCGAAAGGGAGAAGATCGGTGGTGTATGAGAGTTCTTATAAATAGACCCAAGAAAGTCGAGCACCGGAAAAGTTTTCCTGTCGCGCGATGCCGCGGTCGGGGCGACAGCAGCGTGTCAACCCGTTGGACCGACGAGAATGAACCGTGGGCCTTTTGGTGGAAAAGAGAGCGAGTGGGCGTCGGAGGAGGATGAGGAGGAGGAGGAGGAGGAGGGGAGAAGATAGATAGAAGAGGAAAAAAGATGGAAACAGTGAATCGAGCTGGCTGGGAGGGGTGTGGAAGGGTGGAAGAGGTTGGACGCGCGCGGATCGCACCGAGTGGAAAGAGGAGCGGCGCGGCGCGGAGCGGAGCGGAGCGCGGCGAAGAGGAGAGGCACGAGGCGAGGGAAGCGCGTAGCGCGAGCGCAAGCGCAATGAGCCATGGAGTTGGTCTGAACGCGCGCCACATTGAAAGCTTGCGACATGCCGCGAAGCGGTTCAGTCGCGCGCCAGCTTTCGTGCGGGTGGTATCGTTTTCTAGTTTTCTCGGCGTTGTTCCCTGTGGTGTACCGTGGCAAGCAAGGAAAAAAAAGCCCGCGTAGGCGTGGTGAACATTGACGCGTTGGCGCATACACGAACCACGCGGACGAGCTAACGCGAATAAGAAAACGCGTCCGATATCCGAGACGATTGGGACGATCGCGACAACGACGACGACGACGACGACGACGAGCGTGTACGCGTCGTCCTCGAAAATTGGAATAGAGTCGAGGGTCGCGTTTTGCTACTCTTGGCACCAGTGTCGCATCTCTCTCGGCTGATCGGCGCGCACGGGAGGATCCCCGGCTTGCCTGGCTGTGCAAGAGATCGCGTATCCCGTAGTGAAGTTTCTGCGGCGCTGTTCCCGTTGTTTACCGATCGCGGTGGAGACCAGCACACGAAAAAAGACGTTCGTAGATCAACGGAGCCGGTGATTTATAACAAAGCTCGCGGAAATAACCGTATCGCGTATCTGTGATGTGCGAGTGAGCGATGGAGTCACCAGTCATGTACGATTCAGCGGCCCATCAGGCCCAGGCCCACGGCGCGGCCGATCTCAAGAAGTCCCAGGTACTCAACAACAACAACAACCACCAGAGCAACAACAACAACAGCAACGCGCCGAACAACAACAACAACTCTGCCCTGCAGGTGAATCATAATCACAATCAGCAGCAGAACAGCACGGTGGTCAGCAAGGTCTCGGCGAGCAAGGCTAGCCTTCACCAGCAGTACGCGGAACACTGCGCCGCTGCCGGCGAGCTGACAGACTTGAACACGCCGGAGATATCGTTGGATCTGCAACACCTGATCGACGATAGCCACTTCAACGACGGCCTGTTGGACATGTTGGGCGCGAACAACGGAACCGTGAAGCATGTCCGAACGCCCGGTTATCCGCGCACCACGCTCGCCTACATGCCGCAACCGGTGCACAGCGGGGCGAGCTACCACCAGGGCAGCAACAGCTGCAGCGACAGCAACAGCTCCAGCTCCGAATCGCCGAGCATCAAAGAGGAGCCCCTGGACCCGGCGGACTACCGCCGCCACTGCCCCCAGTACCCGCCAGGCGGGTACAGTCCGGTGACCAACGGGCCGTTCGCCAATGGCGCGCCGACGTTCACCACCCTGACACCGTCCACGGTGCCCGGCGGTCATCCGGGTGCGCCGGTCCACCAACAACCACCCAGAGGCGGCCCGATGAAGCCGGTGATGGCGCATCAGCATCACGCGAACAGCGCGGCCGCCGCTGCCAGGAAACAGACCAAGGCCATCGACAAGGCGAGCGACGAGTACAGAAGGCGACGCGAGAGGAACAATATCGCCGTGAGGAAGAGCCGCGAGAAAGCGAAGGTACGATCGCGGGAGACCGAGGAGAAGGTGAAGCTCCTGGTGAAGGACAACGACCTGCTCAAAAAGAGGATCGAACTGTTGACCGAGGAGCTGAACGTTCTCAGGTCGCTGTTCAGCAGCGTCGGCGTCGTGCCCGAACAGCTGCATCGCGAGATCTCGAGGCACCTCGACCAGTTCCAGCAGCACGCGGTGGGACCCATGTAGCCCGCAAAGTCGACCCCGAGCAGCGCAGTGGTATCGCGCTGTTACCCCTTTCTCTCGTCCACGGGTGTCGACCTTCGTCTCTCGGCTCTCGGCCCGATACGATTGTGAGAGGAGCCGTCGCCGCCGCCGCCGCGCACCTTGATCGTCGATTTCCGAATCCCGGAGTCCCTCGGGTCCTCTCGCTGCGTCTCCCAGGAACCGCGCGCGGAGGGCACGGCGCGCGGTTCGAGCCGCGAACGCCCGCTACTGCGTCTTTGACTAATTCCACAAGTGGGGAATAAAGAGGTGCACGTGCTTGGCTCGAGAGAGCCGCACACGCTGCCGGAGAACGGAAAAGACGCGGAGAGAATGGAGAACGGAGTCGGACGCGCGGATAAGTGCAGAGGAACAGAGACGGAGAGGACTATACGAAGCGAAAGGAGGGAGAAGGCGTGACTCGATCGAGGAAGAGGCCTCTTCGTCGTCGCTTCTCCCCGGGGAAAGAGCCGTTTTTTGGCAGCTTCTGGTCGACGACTTCGCGCGGAAGAAAAGTGCCTCCGCCCATAGCGAACTTTTTTACACCGAGTGCACCGGACACTTCCCTGCCCCCACGTCCTCCCCCCCACCTGCCCCCCTCCCAACTTACCGGACCCCACGATTTCCGTCTGTACAAATAGGAACAAACGAAACGGAGAGCCAAGCACCGTCGCGAACGAGATGCTTTTACCTGCGAAACGAGAAATTTCGACTCCAACGATCCTTTGTTCCCTCTAATCTTACGACCCCTATCTTGCGTTATATCTACCTTTACTGCGACTACTGTAAAGACTGGGTGGTTGGCGCACCACGTGTGTTTTCTCTCGCGTTGTCCGCCAGCTCATTCGATCGCGTAATTCGCAACACGTTGCGACTACGAACAAATCATGCGTCGATGTGTACAAGCGCATCAATCACACTTTCACAAACACAAACGGGCTCCCGTTCGCGTACGCACGGGCGCGCACACGCGCGTAATAGAGACACGGTCGCGAATAAGATCGGACGCGCGCGCGCGCACCCGCGCGCGTGCGTGACGCGAATGAGAGAGCGGTTCGCATAAATCTTCGATTCTCAGCGGCGGTATATATTTTCGATGCATCTTCCATAAACGTTCGCGAGCACGCAAACAGAAACACGCGCGCGCGCGCGCAACGATGACGCGGATGGACGCGCGACGGTGCTCGCGTGCAACGCCGCGCTCCGCTCGGATTTGTTCTTGAGATGCCGGCCAATTTAATTAGATTATCGTGAACAATAGGTAACGGATTTGAGATTGGGATTACTGGAAGGGATCGCGCGACGAGTACGTCGCGACGATATAAACAAGGCGGCCGACGTTTTGTGTATATAATTGCGGGTCGTTCACCTGGGCCGGCGCCGAGCTCGAACAGCTGAGCACGACGCTGCGTACAAAAAAAAACTAACGTCGCGCGACCGTTCTCGTACACCGACCCAGGTGACACGAGCAATACTCTAAAAAGCAGCGATTCGAATTTTAGACAGGCGTCGCCGACGAGACACACCGTTTCGCTGGTCCACGCGTATTTTCGTATTTTCTCGACAGGATGCGGAACACGCGGCCATCCGTACCGACACACCGATGGTAGAAACAAACACAAAAAAATGTTCACTCTTACACACACACGCCCTTGTATTATAGCTCTATATTAATTTTATTATATTCGAGAGATGTATGTACATAAAAAAAGCTAATATATTTTGTTAGAGAAAAGAAACGACATGTTCGTGTTTGATGAGTCAGAATGAATGAATGCGAGTGCGAGCGAGTCGGTGAGCTGAGCGACAGAGGAACCGAAGAAAATATATTTCTGATTAGACAAGCGCGCATGTGTCCAACAAAACAATCGTTATAGTTATAAATTTCAATGCGGAAGCATGCTAGAGATTACGGCGAGAGAGAAAGAGAGAATGCGAGATGAGAGGATGATAGAGAGATAAATAGATAGATAGAACGAGCGAGCGAGCGAGCGAGAGAGAGAGAGAGAGAGAGAGAGAGAGAGAAATTCTATATTTTGCCGACGTTACCTGGGATTCGGTCCAACCGAGCCCCTCACACCTTAAGTTACCGTCAAATCGCGTGAAGCGGGCTTCATTTCATTAAGTCTTATTTTTTCGTCCTTCCTCGTTCGTAGATTCGATCGTGTGCGAGAGAACGATATTTGTTACTACCTTATATACGTACTTGTGCGACAAGTTTAATATTCTCTTCATTAATTCTTTGTTTCTTTTTTCTAAGATGTTTGTCGGGTCTCTCGGTGATGCACGACTCAAAAACGACGCGTGCGCGTGCACGCGTTTCTTGGCGTATGACTGATGTATGTTAGGTACGAGATTACCTGTCACGGTTGTCTTATTGTCTATGCACAAATATATTTTGATATAAAAAAAAAAATCGCACGACTACTTTGTTCAATCCGTTTCTCTTCCCACCTCGATCCAAATTCCTCGGGTGTTCGAATCGAAAATATGTTGCAGAAAAAAAATCGCCCGGATTTTTATTTCCCGTTTCGACGATAACGAATATGTCCATTCCTTAATTTTCATACACGTTTGCATTATTTACGTAATTTTAATAGCTTCGAAAAAATAAAAGTGACCCAAAAGTGTACTAAATCTTGAATTATATTATTACATATATATTATATATATTATTATTATATATATAATTAATATAAATTAATAATTATATATATATATATATATATATATATATATATATATATATAATTAAATAGTAATATAGTAATATAGTAAAAAATATATTTATATAAAATAAATAAAAAATATATATATTTTTTACTATGTCGCATCGCCTTTCCAATCGTTGCTTGTTCATAAAGGTTTCCCAGAAGACGAAGAAAAAATGCCGAGCCGCCGCCCCGGCTCCGCAGTCCCGCCAAAAAATGTTTACATCTGGCAGTCACCGCGTGAAAACAAAACGATCGATCAAAACTTTTCCACGTTTCTTCCGCGACGATAGCGAAAGCAAACACGAGACACCGCGCGGACAATGAAACAGGATCACGCGCCGGTTAGAAAGGAGCTTTGCTCCTTCGACGAGAGGGCGAGAGGGTGGGGGTAGGTAACGCATCAATAAAGCTGTCGTCCGATAAAAATCTCGTCCTGCACGTATCATACATGCATGTAGGTACACGTGCGCACGCGGAAAGCAATCAGAACCGTCGGTCGCGCGAATCCATCGAGTAATGAGTCACAAGATAAGTTCGTTGTTAGTCAGATAAATAGATTAACACCATTGTGACGATCATAGCGTTCCTTTTGTGCTCGCGGTGAACAGGATTCGAATTTCTACGCGTTCCTCGATCTTGCCCATGCCGCGTGGTCACGCGTTAAGTTGACGGCCTTGCGACTCGACCAATTACATCATTTTTTCGTACGTGGGAATTTGGTATTTACTTTTGGTTTTCTAATCAGAACCAATGAATGCACTTGCGACGATAATTCGAAAGTTTGATCTTCGTGTTTGACCATCGTTCTCCAGCTTCTCCTTGTCTTCTCCTAGATCTTTCGTATAATTATATAGGATGTTTCACTAAAACAAATCATGTAATCATCTTCGCTTGCTGCGATGATACACGAACTGTTCCTTTTGCGATTTCAAGGAATAAATCAATAAAACGGCAGAAATCAATAAAACCGTAAAATCTGGCAATCAGGAAACATTGGAAGAATAGGCACGATTGTTTCGATGAAAATATATCAACGAAGTTTTATTTAAAAAATGTTCTCTTCTCTGCATTCGATACAAAAATTTTCAGTAAAATATTTCTCTTCGTCTGAAAAACAGTCTGGACTTGGCAGTGTGTAAACTGGAAATAGTTTTGGTCCCCTAAGGGTTAAATAGAATCGACGTCTTTCTATAAATGTCATTTTCAATGCATCTTTCAAGATCTTCAACGATTTTGCTCACCGGTTTCCTCATCGTACATACATTACAATCAGCTGTTTACCCATCCATGATAATACAGTACGATCTGAAAAAATACCGCAGCCCCCCAAGCAATGCGAACGCACATAATCTCTGTTACGTACGTTCTGACCCGTCAATGCGATCAACAGGTTCTCCAAGTTGGAGGGCAAACGCCGGAGTTTCCTCGCGCGCGCGCGCGTTCGCCTTCCAGCAATTGAGCCGTTTATTTTGAAAGTGGCATAAATCACTTTACCGTAATGAAAAGTGGTGATTTTTTAATGTTTACACGAAATTATTTATACCGAGAAAAATATCAGTATCCCGAGATAACAAATACGAGTAAATCTTCTCGAAAGTTGGCATCCATATTTTTAAACGGTGTTAAAACGCAAACCCTTAAATGTATCGACTCAAAAACAATGTGACTCATGTCACTTTCAAAATAAACGGCTCAATTTCAAATATAGTTCGAAGATGCTCAACGACGCGTTACCGTTGATAACCGATTAGGCGCATTCGGGGCTCGCATTACTGGCATTCGTCGACAGAAATTGCGCGATTTATGCGCGCGAATATTACGTTAGAGACTGGTGTCGGATAAATATGTAAATAATCGTGATAAGCGACGGCTACCGTCCTTCCTTAGACACCCTCGATATTCGAGAGCCGTCAGAGCCAGTAGTAAAAGGCACGCCACGACGCGGTGGAACGTTTCGCGAATGGATCTTATCGAGCAAGTGAAAGTGACGAGCCCGTGGGTCTATATTTGACTTCGATAAATCGTCGATGGACAACGGTTACGGCATGACGCGCTGCTTTCCCAAAAGTTTCGACCGGGGAACGTGCCTCGGAGGTACCATTAAGTACCTACGCATTCCGAGGCTGCATGAACTTGTGAGCAAAGTCCTCAAACTTGGCGGTGAGTGGTTTCTATATTTATAGACTTTGACAAATTCAGAGGCTTACGAATTTCGGTGCCTGGGAGTCTTCGAAACTTGGAACGAAGAACATCGTGATCGAGATCGGATTCATTCAAATACCATCAGTGCACCGATCTTCTTCCGATTATTTTTCGACCTGATTCATCGAGATCAAGCTCACACCGGATAGCCAACGATTTAAATCGAGTGCTAACAAATTTAGGATCCAGAGATAAGACGCTAGAAACTCTGCTAAACCCAGGCGCTGCATTAGAAATCACGAAGTCGACGACGTCAGAGAATTCCGAAGGAATTAGGAGCCGAGAGTCGAAGAACCCAAGAATTTTGAAACCTGGAAAACTCCGAAGAATCTCGGGCCAAGAGACTCGAAGCCTCGTAACTTTGGGAGGCCTCCGAGATAGCGGAAGATTCCTGCTCGCACGAATTCGAAAAGAGTTAGGAGCCGCTAAACTTAGAACGCCTTAGAATCTCGGGACCTCTCGATGCGCATAGGCCTCCGAAGATAGGGCTGAAGACGTTAGGGTGGACTCCGCGAAAGTTACGGTTCACTTGGCACCGCGTCACGATCCACCGTTAAGAGGGTAACATAATTAGTCGCCGGCTTACGTCAATCTGTCTCAGGACTGAAGACCGCCCCGGGTTATAAATATGCGGCCGCCGCGAAAAACGTTTCCGGAGTGGTCGACCTTCCGCTGTCCAGGACGAGCTTTCCTGGCCGAGTAGAACGACCGGGAAGAGGCAACCGCGGCGAACGTGGTCGGGTGTGCCTGTTCCAGCGTGCCCGGCGACGGTTCCGCGAGGAAAACGAGCAACGTTGACACACCTGCCGCGGACTAATCGATACTTTAATTACCCGGAGGCGTTGCATAATCGCAGCGCCGATGTTCCGAGGATCGAGTCAGTCTGCCAGCGCTAGATAAGTCGCTCCACACAGTCTGGTCGTCCCGGTGACGGAACAGAAGCGAAACGAACGCGCTTCCGCTCCGCGTTAGGAGGCAGAAGGACAACGAATGCGGATTGTGTGGCTCGACGCCGCGTTCGAACTATGACATAATGCACCGAGTTTTGACGCCGGTGTGTCTGCGTGCACATGTCTCGGTCGTCGCTAGTTTTAGACACAAGCTCTGCCAAACGACGGTCGCTCGGCCGATGCGCGGACGCTCGCCGGACTCGCTAGATTAACTGAGAATAAACGTCAGACTCGAATACGCGACGAGGATCGCGAAATATTCGCGGTCGGCGTCGCGGAAATCACGTTCCGGATGTGCTTCCTGATCGATTGCTCCAGATACCGACTTCCTAACGGGCGAACCGCTCGCCGTTGATCTCCGTCAAATGTTTCACGGAAGAACGGTCTCCACCCCTGTTGTCGAAAACGCTTTTCCTCCGGCCGGAATCGCCGGGTTCTGACAGTGTCGTTGTTATTAGCGACACACTGGCAACGGGTACTCTCTGTTATACCTTACCTACACCCCCCCTGTTATGCGTCTCTATTCTGGCTCCGACGGTATATGGGTTAGGGCCAGCTCCACCAACACCGTTCCTCACCCACGCGTCCGCGCCCGCTTCTTTCCCTCGCGCTCGAAGAGGAACACGCATTATCTCGCGCGACCGAGCCCGTTCACGCTCCATCTGAGACACGCATAATTTCACCGAGCAATTGGAAAATACGCGCAAAGGACAAATCCCGTTCCCCTTTTAAGTTCGCGACCGGCGGCTCTGTTGTCTCTGTACAAATTAATCCGGTTATATTTCGTTGAATCGAAACCACTTTCCTATTGTCTGGAACATCGAAATACGGTAATGTCTTCCTAATTGACGCTCAGATCGTGCACAAAAATGGACAATTTTGGAAGAGAAGATACGATTATTCGATCCTTGCGGTTCATTTTTATAGTTACGAATTGTCAACAAGTATAAAAAAGAGTTGCAACGCTCGAATAACGGTATCTCCTCTTCCCAAATTGCCCATTTTTGTGCGCGATCTGAGCGTCAATTAGGGAGGCATTACTGTATGTTGCCTTATTTCACTTTATTTCAACAAGTACAGTAATGTCTCCCTAACTGACGCACAGATTGTGCACAAAAATGGACAATTTGGGAACAGGAAATACGATTATTCGAATCTTGTTGTACGTTTTTTATAGTTGTTGACAACTCGTAACTGTAAAAACGGACCGCAAGGCTCGAATAATCGTGTCTCCACTTCCCAAATTGTCTATTTTTGTAGACAATCTGAGCGCCAATTAGAGAGACATTACTGTACCAACTGTTCCTCAAATTGTATCAACCCTAGATTCCTTGTACCGGAAGGTTTCAGATCTGCTTAAGAGAGGGTCATCTTGTATCGACGTAAGAAAAAGTGCTCTAAATATAACTTTTTCGCTGCAAAGATAAAATATAAAAGATGTGCGAAGAAAGATTGTTAGGACGAATACGAAAGCTTTCGCGACGACCGATTCGATTCTGTGGCCATTTTTTACTATCCTTTAAGTATGCTAAGGCTAATAGTAAGAAAAA